CTGTGGCAGAGCCTAACTTGTCAAAAATAATAGCAATATGTATATATATCCTTGACTGTGGCAGAGCCTAACTTGTCAAGAATAATGGTAATATGTGTATATATCCTACCTTTCTTGACCGGGTAGAGCGCTCGTGCTGATAACGTGTTATAAAATGCGAGCAATATAAAGAACACAATGTATAAAAATCGGAACAAATTATAAGTTGCTTTATTTCTTCACACTTCGGTACTCACATCACAATGTGTTTGACCCCTTTTATAGACAAAGGGGCACACATCCCAATACACATATATATATAATAATGTAATAATAAGTAGTGGTAAATCCACTTTTACCCAACACCTTAAGTATTGTATATATCCAATTAAAACCTTAAATTATAAAATGACCAACAAATATAAAAAAAAAACGAATATCATTTGTATTGTGCATATCCAAAACCTTAAATTAAAAATGACAGATCTTACAAAACTAATATATTCCAATAAACACACACACAATTTTGTTGTATTTTACTATTTTATTTTCATGTGTTTATCTTGTTTGAAAAGAGGTTAAGTATAAAAAATTAATTATTATTAGTGACTTTGACAAAGTAACAAACATCTATTTATGTGAAAGTGAACCTTTTTTAGGTTCAATAGCCCAAATTCTACATGTATTCAATATTCTCAAAGAGGCACTAATGATAGTGATCTAGCATATTTTTTCAAACCACCACTTAGCATGATTGTGTGCTAACTTTTTTAAAATTTGAATGCGTTTAAATTCTTGTGTTTTTTCTTAACCATGTTTTACCGATATTTTGGTGAGTTCATATCAATTTTTTTTTTTGTTCAGTTCGTATAAATTTTATTAGGAAAGCAACAGTTCCATAAATCTTAAAAAAAAAATTCTATCTTTTATTAAAATTAATTTCAATTCAACTTGTTTAGTAACAAAATCGTTGCAATGTTAGGAAAATTCGAATGCATTTTTAGGAAAAAAAATTGATGATTCTTTTCACTTTATTTTGACCAAACATTTGGATCAATTTGTTTGGTAAAAAATAAGTGTGTTGGTAAGAAAATTTGATTTCAAACTAATGATTCTTTTCAATTTTTTTACTTAATCAAAATTTTAAACTAGAATTAATAATCTGGTGTGAAAAAATCCTAAGAATCACTATTTTATTTCTACTATAATTTTGTTTAATAAACAAGATCCCTTCATTATTTTTTAAAATATTTTTTTTAATTAATAACTATAACACATAAATTTAGATAAAATTTGAACACTCATAATATTTTTTGCGTTCCAAATAATCAAACTAAGAATGTTGTAATGTTATGAGACAATTAAAATACAAAAATACATTTTTTAAAATAAAGTAGATAATAATGCTCATGTGTATCGAACGAGTACTGTACTAGTTTGAATAGAAGTAAAGTATAAAAAGAAATGAATTATTATAAGTGACTTTGAAAAAGTAAACAAACTGTTGTGGTATCATCCCAAGATCAAAAGCATAATTTGAGAGAAAAACACGTTTCTATTACTCACAAGAATAAAAACAAGAGATTTACAAACTCTAAACAAAAAAACTCTCAAACACTTCACAACTCTTTCTTGGTTGTGTTTCAACACTCTCAAGGTTGATTGATCACTCTCAAGGATGATTCAAATGAATGAAATAACAAGCCTATTTATAGGCAAGAATTAGCACACCTCCCTTGACATGCATGTGTAAAAAAGGAAGGTTGGTGGATGGCATATTTTTCTTCAATGGTGTGCTTTACTATTCTTTCTCCATTGGTGTGCTTGTGGTAGTTGGGAGAAGACATGCATGGAACTTTCAATTCTCCCCTTTCCATGCAAGTTCTGAACAAGCATTCCTACTATGTCTCTGCATAGCTTAAGCTTATCCAGTGTAACCACTTTTGTCAACATATCTGATGGATTCTCCTTCGTATTGATCTTCACTAGTTTCAACAGCTGTTGATCAATCTTCTCGCGTATCCAGTGATACCGAACATCAATATGCTTTGTGCGGGCATGGTACATAGAGTTCTTGCTTAAGTCAATAGCACTTTGACTATCACAATATACCTTGTACTCTTTCTGCTTAATCCCGAGTTCTTGGAGATAGCGCTTTAGCTACAACATTTCTTTACCAGCTTCAGCGGCAGCAATATATTCAGCTTCTGTTGTGGATAAAGCAACACACTTCTGCAATCTTGATTGCCAAGAAATAGCTCCCCCTGCAAAAGTGTAGACATAGCCCGAAGTAGACTTTCGACAATCGATATCTCCGGCCATATCAGCATCAGTATATCCTTCCAAGACTGGATCAGCTCCCCCGTAACAAAGACATAACTTAGAAGTACCCTTCAAGTTTCTGAGAATCCATTTGACAGCCTCCCAATGCTCCTTCCCGGGGTTAAAAAGAAAACGACT